TGGGGTGGAGAGCATCTAGACCCACTGATTTGAACACGTCTAGCCCCTCCAGAAGCTCTCTAACGCAGTCCTCCCCAACCTGAGGTCTGGAGGCGTTCCCCTCGAGTCTGTCTTGCATCACTGTCCCTCCCCCCATCCTGATGGGGGGAGGGGCAGAGAAACTTTGTCTTATATTCAAGTAAATGTGGTATATCATTTGTTAGCAGTGGGCACCATTACTTTTCCGTGGCTTTCATCAGCTAGGAGATAAGAACTGCTCTATAACATGCCTTTACCTAACTTGCAACATTCCTGCTAATCCAGTTCTACTCATCATTCTTACTTTAAAAATTGGAGGGAGAGGAGGAAGAAGCAAGCAAGAAAGGCCAAGAGGCCTATAATTTTGTAATACTGAAAGCACTCACCAATGTCTGACAAAATATAAGTATAATCAATGAGGTACAGGGGCAGTGTCCTGTGAAAAAAAAAAAAACGAAACAAAAAACCCCCATACTATCTGTCTTGCTCCAAATCTTCAACAGAACTGATGAGATAAGAGGTATGTCCATCCAGCACACTGTAGTACTGTGTAGAGCTGTATTACATTCGTAGTAGTGCTAATTAGCCCTGAAAACTGCTAATAAAACTACTTTGCTTTGAACACCCAAGCTAGGTCATTCAGAACTAACTTTGGTATCTTCACAGAGCAGTGTATTATGTATGGACCACATATAAACCTCAAGATGCTTTCATAATATAAGCTTTGATAGGAAGACCCTGAAATTTTTGATCTCCCCCCATCTATTGTCACCTGGCTACTCAAGAGGATGATGATTCCATTTCATTTTCTCTCTTTTCACTTTATTCTTGGTATCTGGGAAAGGAACAGCTATTTTCCCCACACAAATATGTCCTAGGCCTCTGAAACTTCTGCCTCACTTTCTTCACCTCCCTACAACACAAAAGAGAAACCAACATGACCAGTCACCACGGACAAAAACAGTGAAAGAAAGTAATCACTGAAGTTTGCCTCTGCTTTAACTTGGAAGTAACAACATACCTGTTTTGTTTTGTTTTAAATCTACTGGTATCACTGTGGGAATAGGGTAGAAGGGGAATTACTTCCTCTTTTACCTTCCCTTATCTTAACCTTGTTGGAACTTTTGGAACAACAAGAATGAAATGGACAAACCTGCAACCTGCTTTGTGGGAAAAGACTAGACTCCTATGCTCATGGTAATGGCTTAATTCTTTTTTCTAGAGAAATCTTCTACACTGAGATGTAGATTTTTCAAACTCTGCTTCTGTCCCATAATAAAGTGGTTGGCAACCTTCTCAGGCTTCAGGCCAGGACCTAGATCAGGTCAGAGGCAGGCAGGCCCTAGAATCCATCTGCTGCTGCTTCTCCCCATCGCAGCACAGGCAAAGCAACTGCTGCTGAAGCCCCACATCTTTAGGCTGGATAGAATAGCTATGCAGGCCATAAGCTCCCAACCCCCTGCTATAAATGCCAGCCAGAGCAGAGCTAAAGGAAGCCTTTACCACAACATGGGGTAAGACAGGCAAATGAAGAATTTGTATTAGTCAACTGGTTTTAACAGAAAGCCATATGGGAAGAATTCTCATATTAATCTCCAGATGAGATGTGGTAATAACAGTAAACTGAAGAAAAGGTCCCTTTCTCTGTTACCACAGAGATCAAACATAAGATTAGAGTGCTCTCAGTTTATCAGAAGGGATGGAAAGCTGGAAAGTTTTATGACAGCTAGAGAAAACTGAGGAAACTGCAACAACACTAAGCACATGGAACAGGCAGGGAGGGTAGAGGTTAACATCATGCATAGACCACATGAAAACAATAGGATCAAGGAAGTGTCTATGGAGGCTAGAAAGAATAATGAAAAAGGGAAAATGTCAGAGCAACATAAATAAATATGTATTTATGATATGTGTTCATGTGGTTGTAAATAACTTGAATCTACTGCCTCCCATTTTTATTTATACTGTGCATATATAAAAATTGAAACAAAGATCAGTACTGCCACCAAATAAATAACATCTTGAATCAAAGTCTATGTTGCTTATCCTTACTTATAAACATATATCTGGTGGGCAGCAAGCAAATTTCAAACTATGCCCTTGTTTGTCCCAGTTCAACAGATGATAACACTTTTTCTCTAATCCATGTCTGATCTTTATTTCTAGGCACAGAAAGTTCCTATCTCAATTCTTACTCCCATAGGAATGAGGGACAGAATTCTGTCCTCAACCTAATAGGCTATCGCTAAATTACCATTTAAAGTATTAGATCTTTATCAGGATATATACAAAAATACCCTATAAAAAGTACAAAGGATATAGGTATGAGCTATGGCACAAATTTTTCACAGCATATCTTTGTTAGCCACAGGCGTGAAAAGATTGCACCACCTGGGCCAAGAGAGATAGAGCTGAATTCACAAACTATTGCTGGCATACACCAGAAATGGGCTTGTCAGCCCACAGCTTTTGTCATTCAGGTAGTATAGTCAAGTTGACAGAAAAGAAAAACCGCTTCTGCCAGCTGGCATCTCCACTACATTCTGCATTTCCACCAGGGTGACCTGCCAACATAGCCATGCTGACACAGCTATGGCAGCAGTGCCTCTAATGTACACCAGTGGTTTTCAACCATTTTTCATTTGTGGACCCCTAAAAAAATTCAAATGGAGGAAATGCTGAATGGAGGTGCAGACACCTCTGAATTGCAAGTGTACGTA